GGTTCAACTATTTTAATTAGTATTAAAGTTTTATAAACCATTGCTAAAAACGATATTGAGTGAAACCCTGCAGTCAGTTTCACTTCTTTAGGCGATATGTTTTAAAAGAATCGTTAGTTAATACTATGCCTAACTCGGTCTCCAAGAAATAGTGTGTCTACGCAGAAATGGCATCTGAATAGTAATTATATTATATTTAGATTGGATAGATGCTCCGTCGACAATCTCGGAACTTCCAACTTCTTTTTATATAGCAGAAAGTCCAGACCACGCAATATATTCAATCCATATAAATATGTATTGTACATACTCGCATATTATATTGAAGGGGAAAAATAGAAAAAAACTTGCCCAAAAGTGTAATCGATCTATTCGAAAAAAAAACCGTAATTATGCTCCGATTTTGCCCGGTTTGTTCCACAATTTATTTATTTATTTATTATATTTATATTATCGTAGGTAATTCTTTGCTTCTTTTTTATTTGAATATGTGGAGAGCCTTTCCCTCTCTAAAAAGGGAATCTGTGGCCGAGTTCTTCGAAAAATTCGTTATTTTGTGGAAAACTTTTTTACAAGATTTTTAATTTTTCAACATCATGTTGTAATAAATAAAGCAAAAAACCAGTTAGAAATCTATCGGCACCATTTTGAAATTTCCGTGTGACGATCATCCTTGAGGAACAATACAAACCAAAATCTTTAGAACACAAAAAAAATATGCTTTGAAGAAACAAGCAAATGGGAACGATTATTTTCGGAAGCAGACAGTCGTTCCAGCTTTTAAAAGTTTTCGTCGTTTTTTCCACTGGAAAAAAATTGTGAAGAATGAATGATTTTTCGGAGCATTATTACTTCGTTCAGAACTCGTGGTTTGGTGTTCTGTGTGGAGGCTTATCTCAAGGTGCCGTCTTTCTAGGCAAGGCGAAAATTCCCAAATTTTGAAAAATGGTGCTGACTTTGATGACTCTGAAGACGAAGATTAAGCTTTGTTACCTAGGATAGTTCAAATTGTCGAGGACTTATCTCTCTTAGCAGTCATAAAGGGTGATTTTTTTTAGCAATTATCTTGTATAGTATGCACTGGTTTAAACAGCTGACGCACGTTTCGTGTTTTGTATCACCGTCAAACATCTCCAGTTCGGTCTATAATTTAACCACGAATCGTCTTATAAACGAACAACGCTTGCAGACCATTGAATTTTATTATCAAAATGCGTGCTCTGTTAAGAAAGTTCTTCACTTCGAATCTCAATAATAAGCAGAATTGTCGATTTTGGAGTGAAGATCAGCCAGAAGCATTGCAAGCGTTACCAATGCATTCAGAAAAAATCAGTTTGGTGCCATTTATGAGCTGGTGGACTCATTGGACCGTACTTCTTCAAAGATGATGCGGATCGTGACGTAACAGTGAATGATAAGCGATTCCGTGAGATGATATCAAACTTGTGTTTGCCCAAAATGCAAGAGCTTGACTTGCATAGCACGTGGTTTCAACAAGACGGTGCCACATGCCACACAGCACCCGAAGCAATGGACTTATTGAAAGGCGAGTTCGGTGAACATTTTATTTCACGTTCGGTACCTAGATCGTGCGATTTAACGCCTTTAGACTATTTTTGGTGGGGCTATGTTAAATCGAATGTCTATGCAGACGAGCCCGCTTCAATTGACAGGAGGACAACATTGACGCATTTATTTGTGAGAGACCGACCGAAATGTTGGAAAGAGTATGTCAAAATTGGACTAAGCGGATGGACCATTTGAGGCGCAGTCACAGTCAACATTTGCATGAAATAAACTTCAAACATTAAATTATATGGAACGACCTATCGATTCAAATAAACATTTTTTTTTGAAAACTTTCCTACAGCTCTTTAAAAATCAAGCTCTACTTGGTCAGAACATTAAACGTGAGATTATATATATGTATACGAGTACATATGTATGTATATAATTGGCGCTTTAGTGAGATTAAAAGAATTAATATCAACTTGATGTGCCCAATCCATCTACAGGGGGACGTATGGATGTACTATCATGTTGGCAGACTATGCGGCCGTCAATGAGATGCCAAATGAGGAGAAAAAATGCTGCTGTCGTACTCTGAACAATCAAGGCTCATAAAAAAGAAGGTGAGGCGAACAGCAAAATTATATTTTTAATGCTGAAATAGTTCCGATTTTTTGGGTGGCCAAAATCTTAAAGTATTGAGCTCAAATACCAACTACAGCTTGAATTTCATATTGTTTTACAACAATTACAGGGGCCTACATTTTATTTTTAGATTTTTATGAGTGACAGGGAATGCCATGCCCAGGTGCAACCGCAATTAGAAAGCACTATTATTAATCTTATTAACATTTTCTGCAAAATTGAAACAAAATTGCGAATTTGTGGATTGTGGATGTGGCGGGAACTTTGTGAGCATTTCCGTTCTATAAATTAAATAATAAAATATGTACATATATGATATAAAAGAGGGAAGTAAAATATTAATAAAAATATATATAATTCATGTTTTCTCTGGTGTAAGTGTTCTTAGTTTACATTTCGGAGAATTATTCCAGTTTTTTTTATTGTAAATAATTTTTTTTTTATGAAATTAAATAAATATCAAGTCACGCCAATTATAAATATGACGAAGTTGGTTCTGTGGCGTCTACGGTTATCGTATTCTTTTATTCTATAAACATTGCTGAACAATAATATTTTGAAATCCATACAATGCACTCAATCGAAACGGCTTGCAATGCATTACTGGAGATCGACAAGTTTTTCAAGGCCTCACGCATCATTTTGCTTTATGAAATATTTTCTGCATAATGTGTTTTCAGGTTAATTGAATTTTCCCCGAATCCACGCTCTGGAAAAGGAAATGGCACGAAAAGTATAGAGAATCGGTTCCAATCATCTTATCTTATTCAGGAAATGTTAATATCAATACAGCAGTTTGAAATCTTTATTTATTACTTTTTTTTTTAAAAAAACACCACTTTCATTACAGCAAGAAATTATTGCTTCCTTCTGAAGCGATTGATTTAACTTCTGAATATGTTCTAGGTAATAATAATCTATCTTCTAAATCTTCTAAAATAAAGATGTTACGTTGAAAATTTTCGTAAATGGAATTTTTAAGCATTTTAGGATTCTAATACAATTTTTAAATTTTTTTAAATTTCTTCATTGAATTTTCTAAAGATTTATGAGTATCCTAAATTTAAAAAAAACGATTGAAACGATTGAAAAAAATTAAAAAGCGATTTTTTTTGGAATTTTTTTGAGCTTCATTTTTTTATAGTGGTGTTTGCTATGCTGTTTGTTGTTTTTTATAATAAAACCCATTCGTATAAACTCCGATGGTCAATTCTTGAGTGAAATTTTGAAAAAAAATTTTTTTTTTCAATAGTAGTTTTTGACAATTTGTGGTACTTATAAATCCATAAAAAATGTATTGGGGAAAAAATTTGTTTCAAAATTATAACAGAATCATAAAATGCGGAAAAATTATAAATTTAACCTCACTTTTTTCAGGAAACATTTCTTGAGTGAAATTTGGAAACTAAGAGATTTTTTTCCATAAGCGTTTTTAAGAAAACTTTTGAGTCGATATACTTATCTTTTAAAATTCTTTTTATTCCAGAACTACTATTATTAAATATAAAAGTTGTTTGGTCGAAAATTTCTCAATAATAATTTGAAATTATTTCTGTTATTTTCTAAAAATATTTTCAATTTAAACTTTTTAGTCAAAATCGGTTAAAACTTCCGTAATCACAGATGACTGAGATATTTTTAAATGATATACGTATGTATTTTACTGTGGATAAAATGGCCGATAAAAAAGTGTCGATAAAATTCTTCCTCTGAAATGCCACTGCGACTCTTGGAAAGTCCATAATAGATGTTTAAATACAACATGAGGAACATTGATGAGCTGGACAACTTGTTTGTCGCGGGTGTGTAAGCAATAGAATGAGATACTACATGAAGAAACCTGATCTCATAGGGGTTTCCAAATATGAAATGCCTTATTAGACGGCTCAATTTCTCAATTTTTGCTGCAAAAATTCGAAAAGCCGGCAGTCTATAATAATTAATAAAGTCGTTAAAGGCCACGAGTTTAGTTAAGGCCTGATCCATGTGGACCCTCTACAGAACAACAGACCTCCTTGTGATATCCAACAGCGAAATTGCGAACATCCACCGTTCGCAGTATCTAACAAATTGTTCCATAAAATAAATTTATAAAATATACACATTTCGATAGTTCCAATTCAAGGAAGGAATTCTTTGGGTTCCAATAAGGAATATAAAAAAGGAATACATTAAGAATCCGAACAAACTGAATTTCATCATTTACTCAACTTGCTTTCACGTTAAAAAATTGACTCTGTAGGCTTGATGGGAAGAGGATGAGGTGTAGTATGTGCTTTGGTAGTTTGAGTGAGTGAGGACCATGGTTCCATGGAATACCTGATAGAGTGGCCATCATCAAGCAACCACGAGACAGAACTGGAAGACCTTTTTGTATTAATTGCCTTTAAATTAGATAATTTTGTTGTTTAAAATCATCTCTGACTACTATTACTGTTAGTCAGTACTCCTTAGAGTGCATTGAATGCAATGGATGCCCGACCAATACCTAAGCCAGCCCTCTGATAGCGAATATGAAATGAAAGATCATATGCCTACTGTCGAAGTAAAAGCTGAAGACAACTTCATTTGCCTCCGTATTTTGAATTTATTCAAAATATCTCGTTAACTGTTGTGTTCCCATTTAAAGCGGTTCCCCCCCCATGCACAGTAATAACCACATAAGCCACTTGGCGCCAGTCAAAATACTTAACGCTGCGTGAGTCACACCAGACCGACGGTAAAGCGCAGCGCTCGGCGAGTAGAACGAATGTTAATGATGATTTAATTAATACCCGCTGTAATGACAATTTAACTGTACTGGTTTTTATTATGTTGTTCCAATGTTAGCCGGCATCACAACTCACCTTGCAACAAGCGATTCTCGGCATCGGTGAAACTCAACACCCAGGCGTCACCTTCCATGGCGGAGTTTTTACCCTGCAACGCAATGCACTCCTTCGACAGCATATCGAAACCTTCAGTCTTTACCTCTGCAACGATGTTGGGATGTGGCCACGGTATGCCCGGCAGCGGCCAGTGGGCAGCAGAGCGTGGCCATAAGCCAGCGCACTTGAAAGCGGGCGTAATCTGCACAATGATGCGTTCGCGTATACGCAACTTCACCTCCGTCGTGTCGGCGATCATTTTGACAATATCACGATAAGCGCATTTATCACACGCTTGCGCTACCAACGTTTGAAAGCGTGAGCGTATTTTACGCGCCGACAAGTAACCCGACGCGGTTATGAATTCCACCCACAGCGACATGGAACGTTTGCGGCCATCGCTGAGCTTTAGCACCGCACAACCGGGCAGCGTGCCATCGTCGACAAAGTTCAACACACCCATTTGGTTGAGGTAAATGACAATTTCGAACTCATTCGGCGATATTACCTCCAGACCCTCGAAACGACCGTTGTAATCATTGAGGGAGGAGATAAAACGCGGCTCCTGTACTTCGACCTCCTTCAGTACGTCCTGCACGATGCGACAGACTTCGAGTATTTGTTTGTGTATTTGCGCTTTGCGCACCTGAACGCGATCCGCGCAATATTTATTCATTTGATAGACCATTTTGGACTGTGCCGCTATCATATCCGACGGCACGAGCATTTTTTCGCCGGCTCTTTAGGACCTTGTGTGGAGAAGAAGCGCTACAATTTTGTGGTTATAAATATAAGCTGCAAGTTTAGATCCTTGTGGATAAGCTCTCCCTGGCACATATAATTTTCGTCGAGCTTTGGATATCTCAGTCAAGTATCAACTTGGAACCGGTTTCATTATGTAAGCGATTTTGTAATTTTATGCTTTTTTATTGTATTTTTTATCTTTCAAAACTTTGTCACTCTCTTAAATGCACAACTCAATATCGTTAATTTTTAACAATTAATTATTTTGCCTTTCTTTGCTTACGCTTTTCATTGAATTTCACTTATTGATTCTCTGTGGTTTCTATTGCCTGTGTCTTCACTACACCACACGCGCCATTCACACACCATCAGCCGTCGTTAACCCAAAAATCGAAAACGCCACCGCCGCCGTGTTCGCAATCGCGTTCGTTCAAAGTTTCTTTCGACTCGTGTACACACAACGCCAAGCTCCAATGTGGACTGATTTCGTATGGCGCACTCACCACAAGAAAACCAACCTGACTCGCCCGCCTTCGCCACATCGACGCGCGCTTGTTGGCCGACCACTGCTGCGAGTGCATGAATACGTGTGAGTGAGAGTGAGTGAGTGAGTGTCTCCTAACTGAAGTGTAACAGAGCATAGCAGCTGACGCTAAACAGCCCACAAAGCTATTGCTGTCCTGCTTCCTCGCTTTGGCTGTGGAGTAGCGTTGTTACCACATTGTTGCCGAACCTAAGCAGTGGTGTGAAGAAGAGCGCTGCATGGTTGGTTGTTTCATCGGTCTGTCACATAGCCGGTTTGCATCTGGCTTTGTTCTTGTTCGTGCATATGTGCAGTTGGAAGTGTGTGCCTGTGCGATTGTGTAAATTTTGTTGCTTTTTTGCTTACGCTCAAGTGTTTGGCCGTGGTGTTTTCGCCACCTCTCATTGTGAAAATAAAAAAATATACCATTTATGTATATATATGTATGCCGGCATGCCAACAACTGCAATGGCAGTATCCCAGTGTTGTTTTTGTTCGGATTTTCAGCTTGGGCTTCCGCTTCGGATTGTGCGCTGGGCTCATTTCGAGTTTTCGTTGTATGTAATACATAGTTATATCTATGTATGTATGTACGTATATGTAGAAATACATATGTATGTATGTATGTATTTGTACGTGCGGTATAGTAAACTCATATCCTTGCGAGTGAATTATGGGGTAATCCATAGTTTGCAGGATAATTTATTGCTTAGATGTCCAAATAAATGAGAAACTTCAGAAATTTTTCATTGATTTTTTTTCGGCATTTTGTCTTTCATCGCTTTGCCTGTCATCTTTTTCACATTCTTCACCCTGGTCCTAGGGGAACCCCTTTTAGAGGAGAAGTTTTCTATCTTGTTTTTAATACCTAGGTCTGGCCTGAGCTCAGACTCCGGACCCTCTGACCTCTGATGGCAACAAGCGCCTCTCATTAAACAGCACAGTTTTTTTACAGAGACCGCAGAATTAGTGTTTGGGGAATACTGCGGTCTTTGGCCAGATAAAAATCCGGGTCGTTCCGGTATAGAGACCTGACTGTCGCGCGAATCTATTGGATATTAGTCGCCTCTTACAACATTTATGCCTTACCGCGGGTAAATTCTTGAGCCTCTAACCGCCAGGGGAGGTCAATAGCTGTCGTGACGCGTGGTTATACCAGTGTAGCGGCACCGAAAGAAGGAGTTCCTCTTATCTTCCTAAATGGCCGCTATTTAGTGAGTTTTATGGATCCCATACTTGCGCAATAAACGATGTGAGGTTCTACCGTTAAGTCATCATCAGACAAAGTATTTCCTTAGGACCGTATGTACTGTATCATGCAGGTTTTATTGCTCATGTCCTTATGACCGGCTTAGAAGGTGTAGAGATTTTTTTCTCTTTATTTCGAGTAGTGGCCAGATCTGTCTGGATACATCGTGTGTGTGTTCCATTCGAGAACGACGTAAAAAGTTTAGTATGGGCGCGTGATCCGTATTGTCTAAAGCCGGCCGCAAGGAATGTTATTAGTTAAAGTGACCAGTATGATTTAGCTCTGTATAATGTTTAAAATATTTTTTCCCGCCACTTTCAATCGTAACTTCAGTGAAAAGTGGCTATTTCGCAACTCGAAACCCCTTGTCTCTTGCCTAATTAAGGTGGATGCAGTTTGTGGCGATCTTATCTTACTCTCTCTCTAATTGTTGCGAGGCGGAGCCGAATTCCTCTTTTCTAGATCTTTTGAAAGAAGTGAAGATGCTAGGCGCTCTGCGCGAAGGACTCGCACGGCTACTTGTGTGAATCCAAGTATTATTCCAGGTTTAAGTTTTTTGAAAACTATGAATACCCGTCTCAATTGAACGCTATAACCTTCTCAGTAGGAGGAGCTCAAGCAGAATGTAGCATTTAAGATATTTCTAGAATTGTGTGTTCGCACCGGCAATAGAAAATGAGTTCACATTTTAGATTTGAGTAGGTAACGAGCTGATGAGACGATTCCTCATTTAATTACTCCTCTATTTTTTGTGTAATCCACTAGATGAAACCATGTGGCAGTTAAAGCAAGAATCTCTAGTCGTATTACGACAGAGGCAGTGAAGAAGTGAATCAGATTACTGCAGGGAAGCAAGTGGGTATTTATTCGTAATAGTTAATCAGATTGCTTAAAGTCCCACCCGTCTTTTAGAATGCGATTAACTAGAGAACTGGAAGACCACACTACAGTACAGTCGTAGGTCTACTGACAAGTCAGAACCACGTGGAATATCTCTTTTTTTTTTGTTTGACCTTATATAGAACTTGACCGAGACATCCAAGAGCTTTGCTGTCCGGAGGCAAAGTCAAAACCGGTAGTCGGTTAAACTTCAAAAAAAGCGTTGACGCTTTAAAATGGCCAAAACGATTTTCGGTCGAGCTCCTCCTTCAATTTGCGTTATGCGTTTCCTTTTTTTTCAACAAATGAAGGTACCTACCGTTTATTCTTTTCTGCCGAGGGGCGGCCGCAATTGGAAATATTATTTTGGATGTTGGTCCAACTAGGATTCAAAGCCTGACCTTTCGAATGGCAGTACGCAATGCTAGCCACTCGGCTATTGCGCCGTCAATATTACTTTACAATTATTGTACACCCAATCGAAATGAAGATCTCGAATCTACATAGGACTTAAAAGTCTATGTAAGGCGTAGCAGCCAGCCGGGGGTTAATGGATTTTTATGAGGAGCTTTCTTTTCACGTCAAAACTACATTCGGAAGGGTTGGCAATGCTGGCCGAGGAGCGACGGAATTTAGTTAAACTGTTTAGTTGACTGAATCCTCTCAATTAAAGCGATACCACGGCATGCTAAGCAATGATATAAACAGTGTACACCGAACCCAAGGAGTTCAAAGGGTCATAATTGGAAAGAGTCTATCAAGGAGAACTTTGAGAAAAAATGGCTAAGTACGCTTGCTCTAATTCTTCACAGATCCGATGGGTAAGGATTTTGCTCAAACTTATATTTACATACATACATACATATATCTGTATCAAATATTGGGGGTTATAATTCAAGCGAATAAATCGGCGAAAAATTCATAATTACTGTAGGTATTTTGTTAAATTATGGATCTCTTTGTAAATCATTTCCCCTTCAAATATATGTATTTATGCATGTATGCATGTATGTATGTATGTTAATTGAGAAACATTTCTACAAACTTATTTTCACAACTTCATCTGGCAACGCTACATGCTTAGGCTGCGAGCACATTTAACAGCGTTTAAACTCCGCCCAGTGGCACGCGCACACACACACACACACACAGATGTATATATGTAACAACAACACCTAACGGAAGGCAAGCGCGTATGGAAATATGCTGGCTACTGCACATAGATAATCACCAACACACAGACACTGCTCAACCACCACCGCCACTGCAAGCAATCGATAAAACAATAACAAAAGCAACAACAACTGTTGGAAGGCGTTTAACTGAACAAACAAATACACCGCAAGCAAATAAATACAAAGTAATAAACAAACAAACAAACAAACAAACATGAAAACAGCCACACAAAGTAGCGAAATAAAAGCCGCAACTATAACAACACCAGACAAGCGAAACAAAAACAACAACACAATAAGTAATAAATGGTAATAACTATGTATACATGCAAGGAGGCAATAACAATAACAATAACAATAAATGTAGCGAGTTATGTACAATACACATGTACATCTGCATACATAGAATGCATACATTCACACATACCATACATATATATGTATTACATATAAATTTTTGTATGAAAGCCCGCGCTCTCACAATGCCAGCGAACGAAGCATAAACAGCCGACACCTTACACCTACACACAAATATGCATGCATACATATACATATGTACATACATATACATAACCAAGTATGCATATGCACAGCAAAGGCTTTCCTTAGTAAATAGAAACGGCGGTTGGTTGGGGTGGGCGGAGTGGCGGCGTGTGCCTCCGGGTGTTTTGTTGTCCACCCTCTTTTGGCGAGCAGCCAAAGCAAATGTGGAAACCTTTTGTGCCCACACAATTTTTTTTTTCGGTATGCACCCCTTTCTTCTCCCATTTATATTCATCTATTTATGTTTGTATTCACTATTAAATGGACAGCTCATCCCGTCCATTTGTCTGCAACTGCTCGTATACCAGAAGCTTAGAGGTCGTTGCGAGTATTTGATGTTTGCCGCCACAGACAGTGGCAGTAAGAAATATATAAAAAAAATCTATACATACATAATAGTTATGTACATACGAATAGGTATGTGTGTGTGTATGTGTTTGCTTCATTGAAGCGCGGACGCTTTTTACGCCCATCACACAGCTTCATTTGTATTGTCATGCATGGTGTAGTCTTACAGGCAAACAAACACATACATACATACTCATTTATACATATGTACGTATCTATGTTTATCGATTTTTTGCCTTTCTCTCTCTCTGTTGCGAACTCTCTCCCACTGACTGTATCTACAGTTGGTTTGAGTCAATTTTAATGTATTTACCGTTGTAATTAATGAGATTTACTCATGAATTAACGACACGAAGCGAGGTTCAATGAATGAAACTTAAATAAAGTAAGGAAGGGGGAAGAGAATGTAAGACTACATACATACATATATAGGCCGAAAGACAACTGAAAGCATAACTTAGATACATAATAAAGAGCACGGAGTGGTTGAGAACAAGACTTCTCCGCGTGGAGTGTTTATTCAAGAACGGATTAGAGCGAGCTTTATAAGAGCCACACACGGACATTTTGATCTATAGTATTCAACACTGTTGGCAGTCATAACTTTGAAGTCGTTGATAACTTCGTCTATCTTGGAACCAGTATTAACACCAACAACAATGTCAGCCTGAAAATCCAACGCAGAATCACCCTTGCTCTTCTACTTAGGACTGAATAGGCAATTGGAAAGTCCTCTCCCGACGTACTAAAAC